TTTTCTTGCCTTTATGATAAAGCAGCTGGAGAGTGACAAGATAGGGCAGAGAGGGAGGGGGTGAAGGGGGACCTGAACTCAAGCTGCTATGACCTGTACATGGTGTAACCCCCCTCAGCTGGGATCAGCTTCAGCACCCCCTGCAACCCTCTAAAGCAGTGGTACCCAACTAGTCCAACCACGGGGTCTAGATTTCTTCTTAATCATCAGATCAAGGTCCAAATAGTTTCATATATTTAGGATGATGCTAGTGTTTGGCCATGGCATCAAGCTAGCTAGCTGTCTCCGTCAAATAGCTGTTTGTAAGTCAATCACTCTTCAGCAGGAAACGACACTTCAAAATAAATTCTCTGTGCCAGAAATTCTCTGTATAAATAAATAAAGTGTGTTTTTTAACAAACTCGATGCGTTGGCAAATCACTTGCAGTCCATTCAGAATGGACCCACAACCCACCAGTTGGGAACCACTGCTCTCAAGGATGAGAGGGTAGAGCTGATGGATGGATATATATCTAAATGGATTTTTTCTTTGATAACATATGACCTTATGTTGGCAAACTGTCTTGACATCAGCAGGGTAATACCCTTGCTCATTCAAATCCATATGTTCCATTACAATGAAGAGCAGTGATTCAATCATGGAACATAGAACCTTTCAGCTGTAATCCCTTACACAATACACACACTATCTCGCCAATCAGAGTTAAGCATTCTATACCATGAAATATACTAAGAATAAAAACTTCAAGACATACTTAAATGCCATCGTAATGGTGTCCCAGTGGATATGTTTGGGGCTCAAACTTGCATACAAAGCTTCAGAAACACATTACCCAACAGTAAGATGCCCCTTCATCTTGGCTTAAAAGCTTAAAGACCTTATCAAACTGTTTCAACCTTTATAAATACATCACTTCTGCACTTGAGTGGACAGCTGAAATCAATAAAGGATTACAACTTTCACCTGGACCAGGACTTTACTTTCAGTCTGTTTCTTACTGTTCCTTTTCATTTCTTTTATGAAACTATTTGGACTATTGTTCATGAACTGTAAACTTTAAATATTGCCCATTGAGCCTACGGGCTAACCCCCCCCCCCCCCGTGCCTATAGTTAAGATCTTACACAAACATTTGAAATTTATTCACATGTCAACCATTAATAAAACAGTAAAACCTCTAAACGCTTTCTTATTCTCAATATTTCTTCAAGCTGAAGCTTACAATCATCCCAGTAAAAATCCAGGTGCCTGACAAGCCAGTTGGCTTGGTTATTAAAACCTTCAAGTTCCTCTCTTTTCTTTCCTCTTTTTCTTTCCTTTGCTGGGGTTTAGATTTGTCCAGAGGCCTGGGAGCACTTAAACTGAGCTCAGGGAAGGAGCTATTACACGGAGCAGGGAGGGAGTGATGGATGAAAAAGAATAGAGAAAGAAAGGAAAAGAGCTGAAAGATGAAAGGATGGGAGACGCCCTACATTTCAGCAGCTCCGGAGTCTCCGGCAGACTCCGGGTGACAGATTACCCAGCTCCGCCTAAGAACAACTAACACCCGTCTGTATGTAAGCATCTGGGCAACGCCGACTGAGAAAACAAACTCATTAATTCGCAGGCTGTAAGCAAAAACAAACACAACCCTTCAGTCTGAGAACTAATGCGATCTGATCAAAACAGGACGCTGATGTGTGAGTTGGTGTTTTCAAGTGCCCCCCTGCCTTTGGCGAGACAAAGTGAATATTGTATTAGACAGAATGTGCGTCTCCAAAGTCAGTGTGTGTTTGTGTGAGCGCGAGAGAGGGAATTCAAATGAATAAATGAAGCCGGCAGATTGAAGAAAGAGGAAGACAAATGAAAGACATACAGAGACAGATAGGAGAAAGGCAGAGAGAGATGCATGATGGGAGGTTGGTATAGATGCTTGGCAGAGGGCTGGGAGTGCAGCCAACCGTGCACACATCACATACCTCGACGTCTCAATGTCACCCCCCGTAAGACACACACATGAGCACACACACATTCTCACTTTTGTTGTTGAGAGTGAATTGCAAATTAGGCTTTTAAGAAAATATGAACTGGGATTTTCTCTAAACATATTAATGTCCTATAAAATCACTAAAGGAAGATAAATAAATAAGCAAGATATAAGAAAGTGAGATTTGATTATTTGCAGGCCAAAAGCAGTTTAGGTGTTTAAGTTAAAACTGGGATACATTAGTGTAGAAGTTTTTTAGATGTCTAGGCTCATGTCAGCAGTTTAGCATTTAAATGAGTGTACCACACCGTGTATTTAGGATCAATTTCACATTGAAATAAAGGCATTTAACTGCTGTTGAAAGGCTGGGTTTATGTAAAATAGATGTCTAAAATAATCACTCTTAAACTTATTATACTAAGATGAATTTTACCTGCAAATGACTAAATCAATGCTGACTGGAATGTCTGACGTACTTTAATAGTTTGGAGGTAAAAATGGCATTCTTATGCTTTAACCTCTACCCACTAATTGATTGAAATGAGATAATGACAGCTTTTCCTGTCGCCAAATTACCTCTACATCCTCCTGGGAATACAAACACCCTCCAGGCTTCCCCGGGTTATAATGAAAGAGGGGGCGATAGAGGAAGAGACACACAAACAAGAGGCAGAAAAAAAGAGCACTTAGGTCAGTCAGGAATTAGACTAAAGAGAGAGAAGATGATACACATGAAGACTTAAAAAACAATATATCATGAAGGATCAAACAAAGACAAGAGACTTAACTTGAGGGAAATTATGTATAACAGGACAAACTGGAGGGGTCAGATCTGAGGTCATCAAGGCAGGAAGCAAGAAACGGGTTGGTTGCTAATGGGAATCATATAGGCAGTTATTTCCCACACTCCTCATAATGCTCAAAAAAATGAGAGTTGAGCGTTTTTCGGTGGCAATTAATGATGAAAAAAAAGTTTTATGTGGTGCTGTTTATTGCCAGACCAAAGTGAAAATGGATTGGCTTTGAAAAAGCGGCTCTACATCAGTGAAGGGCAGTGACTCACAATCTTGGGTACTGCTTTTTCCATTTCAAGTGTTTGCCCAGGGCATGAACGTGTGTGTTCAATAACAGAAGTTCTCTGCACTCTGCGTCTACTACTCAACTGTGTTGCAGGATTTCCTGATTATTTTCTATCATATATAATGACCAGAAATATCCTTCAGTAAACTCTATGATATGGAAAAGTTTCTACATCTAAAATCATTTCACACAAAAGTCGTTATAAACGTGTCAAAATCCACTGGATTTTCTGCAATATTACAGTGAAACAATAAAAATAGACTCAAGATATTATACAGTGACAAAACTATAAGATCAAATTTGAATGAACAGAGAATAAAATTCTAAATTTGTCACATTTAATCACACCCAAACTGACCTTGGTGGACACCCAGTAATCTAACTGCAACCTGGCACCTCACCACAGGCCACAGTGTTCATGACATTGCCCCCCACAACACAAAAGTGTTACAATAAATTAAAAGAAAAATAAAGTTCTTTAAAAAATAATGGTCCATCCTCTGAGGAGCATGACTGTTCAGAAAGGTTCATAGTGGTTTGTCAGTTAGATTTTGATATTTCATGTGCATAAGTGACATTTGGCCTGATGGTGTCACTAGAAGAAAGTTCAGGGGTTACCTAAGCATTAAGGTTCTTCCACTGCAGGACCATTTGATTCGACTGGTCATTTTTATCCTTCGGCCGTGCTGCTAACAGAGCAAAATCTAATAATACGACAGCACAAAGCAGTGGCCAAGTTCATAAAAATACCACATATCTGTTGCCCTGTAACCTCAATCTGTATTCAGCCCCTTTCCAGTTGTTCTCCCTCATTTCTTAATCAGTCTCTATCTCCCTGTCTCCCCTGCTGAGCTGTATTTCCAGTGTAGCCAACAGGAAGACCAGTTAACTCAGATGGTGACTTTTCTCCTGAAAACATGGAGCTGAACAGGAGGAAATCCTGTGTGATATCTATCGCTGATGATGATTGCAGACTCGCTCCGGCCTGAGTGAAACGAAACAATGAGCACGGTTTGGCAACAGCACGGTCAACACCATTTAAGCAGGCACACACACACACACACACACACACACACACACACTGGGTCTATCTTTACTGCCTTATTATCATTGAACTTGTGTGAGTCATGTTCAACAACAGGGTTCTGATTAGAGAGGGGAGAGGAAAAGAGATCATGCTGTGTGTGAACTGCCCAAAAAGAAACTGTATATGGCAATGTTTCAGTTTTTGGAAAGATATTAAACTATTTAATACTTGTCATGTGAGGAGCAAAAAGATCAGCACCGATAAAATCAGTTTTATCAAAGCCTTTCATTTTCTGCAGCAGAAACGACTTTTTAAAAGGTGAAAGGTCATCACAGAGGTGTGGACAGTCTGAGCCTCAATAGATTAAACCCACCTCTTTGTCTTTTAGACCTAATCACATAATGTTAAAAACCATACCGCCATAAGAGATAATTAGCCTATCTAACAACCTTGCGAGGTGTTTCCGTTGCGGTTGCCACTTCTCATAAACCTTTAGTGAGAAGATCACACCCTGGTGTGTCCCACCGCAGAGCGATGAACCTCAGCCAAAATCTCCTCTGGCTGGACACCCCGCCTGCTCTGCACAGCGCTCTCAACCTGGAAACCAGCAAACCAACGTGTGCGTGCTTCCTTAAACACATAAACCTCCCGTAACAGTAGCCAAAACATCGAGCAGAATTTAACGCTTCCAGCTCGGACCACCGCGAAGAAAATAAATACTTTGAGATAAATAAAAATAAGTAAATAAAAATAATCCTTTAAGCTCTGTTACCGTGGGAGTGTTAAGGTGAAATATTCACAGAAAGAATATCTGCTCACCAATTAGTGCCACCTGTAGGGCACGCGCGTGCACAGAATGAGGTGATTGAGAGCAGCTGCGTCAAGATAGAAAGATAACTAGAAATAGATAACTGATCACTTAATTACCTTTGTATGACAGTCTCAGCCGCGGAACATTTAACTTGGTCGCTGTGACGCTGGCGACAAGTAGCGCAACAAGGATCATGTTGAAGAAAGGTGTAAATCCCTTCATTCTGTTCAGGAGATGCTGCCCAGCTTTTACCTGTTACTCAACAAATGTCTTTCCAATAATCAAAACAGAATATTCCAGGAGAATTTAAGGGGGGAGACACTGCGGGATCCTTGTTCTCACAGTGCCAACATTTGCGTTTTCAGGTAGCTCCCCGCGGTGCGTAAAAGGGTCTTTGGCCGAGTAGCTGGGTGTCCTCTCCGCGGAGTGACTGCCGCGCTCTGCTCGGGCTGATGATTTGATTCAGTGACTCCGCTCTGGAGGCTGACGCTCCTTCACTTCACTTCCAGCAGCTGCCCAACAGAAGTCTGTTTCTGCCTGAGAGAGAGACACCACGCCTTTACAGCACAGAGAGAGAGAGAGAGAGAGCAGTAGCGCTTAATGAGCTCCCCCTCCTTTGCGCACAACCCTTCACTCTACAAACGGCGCACTTGGCGGCACGCTTTTACAGATGATTCATACTATTTCAACACCAAGTAAAGTGCATTTAGTAATAATGTAGCCATTTATCATTAAGGAGTATGTGAACCTATAATCAATCTTTTGTTACACGTTATCATTCACCTAAGACATTTAAAGTGTTCACATGAATAAAGTAGTTGGCTACATGCTTCAGAGACCTTATACCTGCTTACAACTGCAATTCTGTTTTATTTTTAACCGCTTATTAAATGTTCATATATATTGCTTGTAAATGCTAAATAGGGGCATGAGACACAGTGGGCAGCATTTTTTGACACTCGGAGCAACTGCCATCATATAAAGAGCAAGAAAGACACACACAGACCTCAAACTTAAATAACATAGTCACTGATAATTGTTTTATTCTCTGGTCTTATTTTGTTCTCCTCTTTGACTTTGTCTTGACCCGTATTTTACTGTGTAAGTTGTGTTGTATTACTCCATGCTCAGTAATCTTTCACTTACTGTTTCAAACGAAAACCCTAACCAGGGACAGGGGTTGCAATTTAGCCATGGCTAGAAACCTGTATGCATTGCACCTACCTTGTATTTTACATATGAAGCAATGTATTGTGCTTTTGTCCTTGCCAAATAAACAAGTAAGAAATAAAAAGTCTGCATAGGGTGGGCAGGAGGGGAGATGGATGGGTCCAATAAACTTCGGACTTTCACCCAGGAGACCACAGTTCGACAAGTCAATTGAGCTACTTAAACTACATATAGTGTGATAGTATTTGTAGCAACTATGCTAGTTACGTTTGTCACGGAACAACCATGAGAACCCCATCCTAAAACCAAGATTTTTTTTTTCTAACTATGTGCTATTGGTGCCTAAACCTAAAGAAGTAAAGTAGACTCGATGTGTTTAATGAGCAGAAAATTGCCTGTGAAAATGTAAGTTTATTGTGAAAAGACACAATGCACATAATTAGCATAAATTAACATCTAAAAACTGATGTTGGAGGAGTATGTGGAGCGTCATAGTTTGACGTGTAGGTCACTGACCAAGTGTTGATCACATATTGACATTTGGTCATTGACCTTCCACATCCAGATACAATGTGAAAGGTACCCTGGGTGAATTGGTTGTTAACATTCTGGGATGCCATGTTAAGTTAAGCCTATTACATGCATTGTCTTCTTTCAAGATACACTTCCGTTTTCACAGGAAATTTACCATTTACATACAGTCTCCTTCAAAATAAACACACTACAACGGTACAACAACGCAAATTGATATTGTGATACAAGTGATTGGGTTTAGGCAACAAAAACACGTAGTTAGGTTTAGGAAAAAAAGAACAAGGTTTGGCTTTAGAATCTTACAGGATGCAAACACTGCACTCCTGGGTGAAAGTCCGAGTTTTTTGGACCCATTCACCACACTCCCCACCCGATCTACTCCGACTTTTGGCACCTTAACTTTCGTTCTTGTTCCACTGTGTTTCCCCCGTGACACTGCCAAGCACTGTTAAAATACACTGCAACTGGTCATGTATCATGCCAACGTTAAAGGACAGCTTTTTTCATCCGTGTCTGACGCCGTAAGTCACTGCAAGCGCCGAATTTTGACGACTTCGGAGTGAGGATGGAATGTGTTATGGGTTGGAGGACTTGTTTAGAAAATAGCATTTCAGTGAAAATGAGGTGTTTCAAAGCTAAATTAGATTTGATATTTTAAGGTAAACTCAAGACAAACTGTAGAAAATTCCTTGCACTAAGTTAAAAAAAAATGTCTTTTTGTATTTTGAGTGACATGGCCCTTTAAGCAAGTTGTAGGTGTAGACCTATTGGAGCACTGAGGGAGACTTTCCACCAGCTGACTTTTTCAAGGTAATGAAGACATCAAGAAGCTTTATGGTTTATAGGCTATAAAAGATTCTTTTTAAAAAGGACATGCATCTCCATCTCTGAAATTCTCTCTGCTGTGAGCCTTGTGCATGCCTGGCCTATCTTAACCCCTTCAGTGCCAGCAGGACATGTTCAGTAGTTTAATTAAGATGTGTTGGTACCTTCTCAACACCCCCCTCATGTTTGCATCTATTCACAAGCAAGCCTACAAGTGAACACAGGGGTCATGGCAGGGTGAGGGAGAGCCATTCAAGGTGTCATTACTGCAACCTCGAGTCTTTTGGAAACATTTGTTTGCACCAGGAAAGAGGCTCCCATACATGTCTCATATAGACCGAGAGGCAGAGAGTGGGGGAAGAGAGGAGCGAGCAAGTGTTAGGAGGAATGCAGGGTGCTTGAGATGACAGCGTGTCTCGTAGCCGTGCAGAGGGATCGATTGTTTCGGGGAGGAGGCTCCTGTGTGCACTTCAAGTTCTGGTTTCATCGGGGAACTTGTCGTGGCAGATGAGTGGAGGAACACAAAGACTCATGTGCTTAGTGCTTTGGTTTTGTCACATCGTCACAAGGCTCACAGTTAGATATCTTTGTATGAATGCTTTGTAATAGGTTTTGATTGTGATGAAATTTGGAAATGTTTTCTCTTACGAAAAATTGTGTGAAATGTTTTTGTGGTTTCTCCCAATTCTTTTGTCATTATTTTTTTCTGTGCTTTAGTGGAGACTGATGATTGCCTTCACAATGCTTTATAAAGTGTTTTGAACATTAATATGTCACTGAGAAATGACTTAAAATGCCTTAGTAAAATTACTGTAGACAAAGGAAACCACAGTGCTGACAGTGGGTAGCCTCTGTCTCATTCCAGCTGTATTCTTCTTCTTGAAATTAAGATCAAGTTTCAAGTAAACACTGATGCTGACTGATGAAAAAAAGATGTTGCTACTTGTCCTTGTCCTCGGGCACATGTTTTTGTGTATCTTAGAGGACAAACATGTTCAAATTGATTTTCCATCTGCCATTGTCTGGTTTCATTATGTGCCATCGACAGAAACTCTGAAATATTATCTGTCTTTGCTCTTGTTTTGTGCCATAAAGCAATATAGCAGATTTCTAACAAAACCAGACACAATGATACATAATGTAAAATGTCATTTGGAGGCCAGTAGAGGCTTCCAGTGATGGCGTTGTAATTGTTTCTGGTTTTTCTCATAGTTTGTCACCATTTAAGCTGTAGTTGCTAACTTTTAGAAAGAAAAAAATAACTCTGTCACATTTGCTGAAAATGTCACTATACATACAGCAGGACATGGAACAGGTGATCTGGGAAAAAAATCTAATTCCTCTGCCTCCTTAAATTCCTTGTAATAGCATAGTCATGTCAATCACTCCATGAACTGCAGTCAAACTGTGAAACTGGGTGGCGCTGATCAAATATGAATCAAAATTCTGTTACTGCGTTTCTTATTTCTTGCCTCAAATGTATTCAGAAACATATGTTAGTGTACTCTTTAGCTGTAACATGAGAAAGTTGGTCTGGCAGGTGGGCAGTGTTTAGTGCAGCACTCGATTGTTTACAACATGGCAGCCAGGTCACAAACTTTCTCATTTACAGGTAAATAGTATACATACTTATATTTGATGAGTGCTGCCTAGTTTGACAGTTTGACAATAGTTTACGTGCAGTGATCAACACAATTGACAGCTGTGTTAGAGATGTTAGCTCTGATAGATTGTTTTCAATGAATGATGGTAGATTTTAGCAAGTTTGATTAGAAGCCATAGAAGACAGACAATCAGTCTCAAGCAAGGGCATTGACTATCTGCAGAACTAATATTCATGCTGAATGTGGGCAGTGCCTGACCTGGCAGACATGGAAACCTAGCTTGCTAGCTAATGTTAGCTAGCTAATAAATACGGCAAAATGTGATTTTGAATTTGATTTTTCTGTTATTGGAGAAAAGCATGAATCAAAAGTTTGTTGCAACAAAGAAATTATAATTTTTCAAAGAAAAAAAGTACAAATGCATTTTTGCAGGCGGCACGGTGTGTGGTGGTTAGCACTCTCGCCTCACAGCAAGAGGGTTGCTGGTTCGATCCCGGGCGTGGGAGCCCTTCTGTGCGGAGTTTGCATGTTCTCCCCGTGTCAGCGTGGGTTCTCTCCAGGCACTCCGGCTTCCTCCCACAGTCCAAAGACATGCAGATTGGGGACTAGGTTAATTGATAACTCTAAATTGTCCGTAGGTGTGAATGTGAGCGTGAATGGTTGTTTGTCTCTATGTGTCAGCCCTGTGATAGTCTGGCGACCTGTCCAGGGTGTACCCTGCCTCTCGCCCAATGTCAGCTGGGACAGGCTCCAGCCCCCCCGTCACCCTCAAGAGGATGAAGCGGTTAGAAGATGAATGAATGAATGAATGAATGAATGAATGCATTTTTGCAATAAAAAGAATGCACTGCAAATTCATGACAATTTATACAAACAACAGAATTAAACTGACATTGGTAATGCGAATAAATTCTAAAGAGAATTAAGTTTTTTATTCAAAGAAAACAAAACCAACTGATTTCACAAGTAAGCGACCACCTGTGACTGAAGTTTTTTTTAATTGGTCTTTTTCTTGGAGTGAAGGGCTCTCAGCCTTCAGTGGCACAAGATTGGACAACACTCGTCCAATCACAGGCTCATTTTGAAGGACAAACAGACGTGGGAAAGCAGCAGAAGAGGCCACGGGCAGTGTGGGAGTTCAAGAGCTGAATTAATTAATTTGTCACAACACTAGCCATCCTACCATCCTTGTGAATGAGGGTTCCCTGGATTTGTACTAGTAACTGGAAATGACCTCTTAAATCATAAGATTGTAAGAGAAACATGAGGAGCTGGGCTGATTAAATAAAATGAAAATGCTTTGCTCTGTTTTACTCTCTCTTTCTCATACTTTCTGTAAATTCCTCAGTGTCATTACCAATCACTGACAACACTCATATGGGTTTCAAACACAGGGC